CGCCCTTGCTGGGACAAGAGCAGAGGAACCCGCCTCGTCGTCAGCAGTCGGTTTTTAGGTCGATACGAGAAAGAGCGTTATAGGGCCGCGTAGCGTAGGACCATAGGTGCGGTAGATGCGAATGCAGACGCGATCAGTGTAGTTCACATAGTGAGAAGAGAAGTCAGATAGGCTAAGTACGGTTAAAACATATTTTGATTAAGGAATAGAAACACTACTTAAAATTACTATTGGTATATTTTTATAGCATTTTAAATGACCGTTCAGTGTTTGATTTCGGAGAACTCAGTTGCCGTGGTGACACGTAAGGCATATTTGGATTGCTCCTTCAGTTTTGTCGAAAAAACTTTACTTTCGACCCGTTGGCAGCTTGCTGTCTGGGCGAAAGTCTTCTACTCAAAATTTTCTTGTAATTATTTTTACTTGATATCTGCCAGAGGGGTGGTATTCCTTTGTGCCCTTCTACGATACTGCCTAAAAAGAGTGGACCTTTCTTCGGAATGCACTCTAAAGCGCTTTGCATGTCCTGTCTTTCCAGCTGTGCTTTCCACTGATCTGACATGGCGTTCTTTGTTTTTCCTTGCCGAACAGGGGTGATGGCAATACTCTAAGTAGACGTTACCGTTTTCTTCGGTCATTGCCGAAGGAAAGGTGCAAGGGAGGAGGAGACTAATCCGATTGCAGAAGTGTTTTTTTTATTGACATCAATTTATTCGCGAGTTAAAGAAATTGCGCGTAGGTCACGAACGGGAAATTTGGAGCTTGGAACGTAAGGGCAATAATGTCAACCTCTTGAAGTTAGTTTTTGTTCGACAAATTCGACTTCATGGCTGTTGTCTAGTTTTTCGACTGCCTACGGCGTACAGGGACCTGGGACTAGGAGCTGCGACGAAGCGAGGGGTGTATCCCACAGTTACGATCCTTGCAATAGAGAATAGTAACCACACACGCAGTTTGCTAATATCGAAGTAACAGAGGTTTTTACAACTTTCTCCAATTTCCTCACTACCTATCAGTTTCCTCTCATCACTAGCTAGTTTACATGTGGGAATACTCTGATTGCAATCCGAGAAAATAAGTGGTACCAAAGGAGTCAACTTATAGGACGGTTTTTGCCCTGCATATAATTAAAGGTCAGGGTAGTCTCCTTCTGAAGAGCTTGTCATTTACATTGCCCTGGAACTTGAAACCACACACATGCTTGAGCTTTTGAACCTGTTTTCAGGCCCATCTCAAATTATATGCAAAAAATAATAACACGATTCTTTGCAAGTAGAACTGCAGACTTAAATAAAAGATATTTACACTTTATTGTGCCGTCTTGACATAATAAAAATCAATCTTATTGCAACTGCTATTTCTGCGCACTAACAACCACCTGCGGTTTGACAGTTCTACGCATATGTACCCACAGTTGCTAAAGTTTTTATTGTCCTTAACACAACTGACAGTCGTATTAGGCATGTGAATTTACTTAGGAGGTTTTTTAAACGGTTGAATGACTGTCACGGGTGTCCGTATACTTCCCGTCTCCCATATACTACCTTTTCCCTTGTTTGCATCCATCCATCCCTCCAGATCAATTTCATGCCCTTCGTTTTTTTTTCAGCTGAAGCAATTTTTGAGGAGCGGTTTGCTTCCATGCCTTTACCAGGCCGGAGACATGGTGAGTTACTGTCAGCTCTTGTCTTCGTCCCTAGCTCTCATCGCTACGGAAATTTATCTCTGTCTTGAATATTAGCCCGGCCAGCTCTACCAAAGTTTGCCTTATTCTACTTCCTTCGTGTTGTTTAATCAGTTGACTACGAGGTAAGGACTTTTCTCTTGCGGCCCCCCAAACAGGACACGGGAGTAGGAACTCCTAATCTAAGTAAAAAGGCGGTCCTGCTCAAAAATCCAGGAAGGTTAAATATTCCCTTTTTCTGCCCCTAATCACAGTTCGATCGTCGTTTTCGACGATGTCCCCCACTAGCTTCAGGAAGCTGAAGGCGGACGCGGTGAATATAGCTGAATTATAGTGGAAGTAGACTCGTAGGATCAACCCACTCTCTCACCACTCCCACTCCTGTACCCGATGTCGAGACAAAAGTCGAGAAGACCCGAGATAGGGGAGGCCGCCTCTAAGCGCGCCACCACGCTCAGAACGGTCAGTTTCGCAAGATAAGCACGGAGCGACTGGTCGGGTGGCCCTTGCGACTACACAGACGAGGGCGTGACAGCCACCGTCGCCATCAGATTCGCTAGGCGTCACCAGCCGGTATTCATTCCGCTGAATCAGAGAGAGAAGATACAATTAACCGGGCCACTATGTACACGGCCTGTAAACCCAGTGGGAACGCAACCGCATACAGCGACAAGGAAACAGATCTAAGAAAACTGCTCCTAATACTAGTCCTAACATAAACGTAAACCGTAGCTGTGATCATTATCCTACCCGAAACACAAACTCTGAAGTTAACGCTAATCCTGACATCAGCCATAGCATTAACTCTAACTTACCTTGACGCCAACCTTAACCCTAATCTTAAACAGAATCCTAACCATTAATCTACTCCTACAGCAGTTTGGCGCAAAGTCACCTGTATAACTGGTGGTTTCTGCTCTCATATCCTGTTTAGGGGGCCATATAAATCGTCCTTACCGGCTTTGCTACTGCTTGAAACCCGAGGGTTAGAGCTTTTTTGATCCTCATCGGCAGAATCGTCTCTTATCTCGACGTTCAGGTCGCCATCATTCCAAAAATAGTATTTTTTGCCCAGACTGTGCTACAGGCGCATAATACTGTCAGACGGTGACAACTAACTATGAGTGTCGTTTCCTCTTCCCTTTGCCCTACGTACCTGCACCAAATAAATCAGCGACGCGTGGGAGTTGCGTTCACCAGTCTGGTCTGATTACAGGGAAGCAACCTTGGCTCTCATCTTTATCTTCCAGCTTCAAGCTAAAGCCTTCTCAGTTGCCTGTGTAACGAAAAGGAAATTAATAGGGGTCTTGGCAGATTTGAATAGTTCATTTGGTTCAACTCCCGGCTCACGAAGGGGCCCCGTAGCTTAGATGGTTAGAGAGTTGACTGTACTGAAACCTACCCCTTGCAGTCGTGGGTTCTAATCCCATCGACGACGCCGAGTTTTCACGATTGAGTCAAATGAAAAGAAAATTCCTAATAGAGATAGAGAACTGCGAGAAATTTCAAGTGAATTGTATGGCCATTTGCCGTCTTCAGACGGAAATAAGACAAACAAAGCCTGCACAGACCTTCAAATTCCAACGCATCACGGAAGGTTCGGAGTTAACAGTCCGGACACTGAACCACAGGTCCTCCCTCCCGGCTGCTGTCTGAGCTGGTTGATCACTTGGTTATGGCGTCCACCCATGTCTAGCCTTATTACAGGACAAAGTGTGTGTACACACATCTGGAATGCGAACATTTGCCTCAATTCTTCAGGAAGTGCGTTGCCTAGGTGATTTAGACTAAAGCCTACGTAGACTATATCGCGGCGCAAATAATCGATAATAGAGGGGTCTGCTAGACGACATCCATTGAACTACAGCTGCCATTGCTCATTTGATGCTGTCGGCGTCATCAGATAAATAGCCTCGTCAGCGTTCTGCCGTCTTTAACCGGGGCAATACAGCGCCTATATTCCGACCCCTACCATCTCAGCACCACGCCTGTCTGAGTTAGGATATTTCCGACTACAGCCAACATAGAATTGACCATGGAATTTAGGGACCTGTCTGATTGCTATCAGTGTATCATGATTGTCCACTCAAGCAGCATCGCCTTCGTGCATATTCTAGGACACACTCATGTCCGAGTCATTGG